GTTCTCACATGTGGATGGCAGGGACCTAGCTACTTAAAAGCCATCACCATCGCCTCCTGGGATGCACGTTAGTAGAAAGCTGGAACCGGGAGCCAGACCAGATATAGCACCCAGGATTTTCCATGTGGGACATAGGCTTCCTAACTGTTAACTTAACCACTAGGCCAAATCCTGCCTTGCCATCCCCCCACCCCCATCCCCAACTCATACTTTTTTTTTTTTTTTAATCTTTTATTTAATGAATATAAATTTCCAAAGTACGACTCATGGGTTACAATGGCTTCCCCCCCCATACCGTCCCTCCCACCCACAACCCTCCCCTTTCCCACTCCCTCTCCCCTTCCATTCACATCAAGATTCATTTTCGATTATCTTAATATACAGAAGATCAGCTTAGTATACCTTAAGTAAGGATTTCAACACCCAACTCATACTTTTAATTCCAGTCCTCACAAACTTTTTGAAGTACCCTCAGACCATGTTCAAGACAAAAAGTCCTTCCAGCCTGGCCTTGGTAGAGTGTGGTCCCAGGATCTCACAAGCCACCTGCTAGTCAGCTGCGTGCAACACATGCCTGTGAGCAGGGCAGCATGAAAGCTCAGCAAGGTGGAAACAGCAAATTTGGTGGAACACATTAAGCACAAGACTGGACAGCAAAGGACCAAGGTCTTAAAGAAAGAACAAATTAAAGTATTTTTTAAAAGTCCCCAAATAAGCTATCAAGTCTTTGAAAGCACATACTCAAATCTCTCTCTAAAGTCAAGAAAAACAAGCTCCACAGAATCAACAACCCCACTCCCCAAATAACTCAAAAAGAAGCAAAGCAAAAGGAAATGAAAAGCTTCAGCACTTCCAGTTATGGTAACAAATAAATAAACAAAAAACCTAACCTTTCTAAAGAAAAAAAGAAACTGGAGAGATAAAACAGTACCTTCAATAAATAGAATAAATCTAGTTTCAGTTAAAAAAATTCACTGGTGGGGGCTGGTGTTGGGGCCCAGTGGGTTAGGCTGATGCATGCAATGACAGAATCCCATGTTGGAGCAGCAGATGGAGTCCCGGATGCTCTGCTTCCAATCTAGCTCTCTGCTAATAATGGCCTGGGAAAGCACTGGAAGATGGCCCCATTGGTTTGGCCCCTGTCATCCATGTGGGAGACCCTGATGGAGTTCCTGGCTCCTTGCTTCGGCCTGGCCTAGCCCTGACTATTGTGGCCATTTGGAGAGGGAACCAATGGATGGAAGATCTCTCTGTCTCTCCCTCTTTTTCTGTAACTGTGCCATTCAAATAAACAAATGTTTTAAGAAAAGTCGCTAGTGGGGCTTGTGTTGATAAGATCTGCCGTTCTCCCTCCACATCTCACACAAAGGTGGGAGCAGGGGCAAGAGGGCAGGCTGTAACTTGTCAATGAGACATGGAAGAGCAGAGAGACGAGGACTTAGCAACTCTTCCCTACAGGGACTGAGAATTTAATTCTGCTGCTGCATGCCTAGTATTTGTCTCTATTTATTAGTTTGGTACAATCAGCATTGCATTGTTATATGACTGAGAAAATGAAACTACACTAGTATTTTTAAAAAGTGACAGGATTTCTGTCACATTGAACAGTTCCACAAGACACCATCTTCATTTTAATGTAAAATGTATCACATCTACATACCCAACAGAGAAAGACACCAACAGAGGAAGGATCTGAAGTATTAGTAAAACCCTTTTCCCAAATTTCAATGAAAGACTTGGAGATCCAAATCCACATTAATGCAAATATCTGCCTGTTGCAAGTATACTTTTTGATTAAATTGGCATACATCAAGTACAATTAGAAAGGTAATTTATAACGGAGAAACACATAATTCTGCATCTTAATGGAGATGACAATTACAGCTGATGGCTGCTAATTAACACTACTGCTTTTACTCTGGGTACCAGCTATTTCCTGTACAGTAGATCTTTATTGTTGGTGATGGACACACCTACTTCTGAAAGGCACATAAGAGTGAATCATCAGTAGCTTTTTTGCTCATAACACTTTCATTTGAGAAGCAAATGGTAACCTCAAGATTTCTTCAACTTTCTGTTGGAGCCAAGGCTCACTCACCTACCCGCCAGCTGTTCAGGATGACAGGGAGAAAAGTCCCTCCACTCCCCTCCAGGTGGAACAGTCTGTGGGTTTGCCTGTTCCAGCTAAGCAGAAAGAAGTGTAATCACTTAGCTCCAACCACCCGCTGGTGCCAGGATGACCACTCACTCTCCTGCACAGCTCAGGGGTATGTATCAGTGCTGGAGGATGAGTGAAATGGAGAGAAAGAAGCATTGTGGCTTTTAGCGTGGAAAGCTATACTACTACTCTCTTTGCTTGTGCTGTAAATTACATATTTATTTTGTTAGCATGAGAGAGATGAATATTCTACATATAAAGGTGCCCAGCTAAAATCAGTGTAAGTGATATTAATGTCCTATGGTCAGTATTATTGAACCTCGAAAGCAATAAACTTTATGAGTCGATAAATATTACATTTTCAAAATAGTTAACATTCTTTTACTGTCTCTAGCACTTATTACACATTGTAACCGCAAGTCTACAATACATTATTCATATTTGGGGTGTCACCAAGTGATGGATTGCTATAGGAGAGGCTGTCCTTTAAATAAATCAACAAATAAAAATGCAAATGTTAACATTTTCAGCCACAACTTTTTCCATCTTGAATGGGGAATGAAAATTTCACATTATATTGACAGCCAGCAGAGGGAACAATTAACAACCCACACTGTGAATGAGAAAGATGACTTTGCCATGCCTGTTTTTTTTCACCTGTACATGGAACCACTGGATTCTTCTAAGGTGTTTGCAGAGAACAAAGGAATATCTGTCTCTCATCTGAACCACTCATCAGCATCTGAACCATTCTGTCCTCTCGTGAAAGTCTTGCAAAGTCTTAGAATTTAGGGGGACAGAGGAAAGGCTTTTCCCCATGCTCTCCTGAGTGCCTTGAAAGGTCTGCTGGGAGGAAGGACAATACCCTTTTCTTGTGCATTAGGTTTGCACGTAACTGAAACGTAAACTTTGAAATAAAAACAATTAAAATATTCCTGATTCTGAAGTCTGGAAAGCAACAACTATGCCTTATTGGTAACTGATTTTCATAGTACTAAATCTTGTTTTTCAACTCTGAACTTTGTGTAACAGGCCTGTAATATACCATTGTGTACTTCTGAAGATAAAATCTGGTACACTGCACACTGCTTTATTTAGCCAAATGTTCATTTTTTAAGAAGCTCCTGAGAATCCATATTTAGCTGATTTGCAGCATTAAGAATCAAGATACAGAATTCTTTTTCATAAGTCCATAAATATGAGTGCTCAGTGCAATTTTTACCTCAGCTTGTCAAACTCTATGAAGTGATATGGTTCATTCAGAAAATGTGTTGAAGACATTTCACAAAACCCTTATGGGAAAACATTTTATTTCTTTTTTCATGCTTGTATATAAACCTTTAGAAACATTAAACATATTAAAGTGATATCAGAGATCTCATTTTACTATTTAACAAAAGGAAAATCCATTGAGATTCAAAATACAGACCATCTCCACTCTCTACCTCTATTCATTCCAACCAGTCCCTCAAGGTGAGCTAGGATGGAAGCTCTTAGAGCACAAACTTCCAAACACAATTTAATTGGTCCAAAGAGGGAGCCACATCAACACTTTAGGATCACAACTAACAGTGGGTCTTTGGCAATAAGACCCAACAATGGTGCTATTAAAAGCATACGAGAAATTGAGAAAGAATGTGGTATACTATTAGGTGACTATTAGTGTTTAAGGTAATGGGGTTGAGTCTGCAATGCTGGCCCTGCCACTCAGCGTTGTGACCTTAGATAAGTAGTGAAATCTCTGTTTTAGTTTCCTGATTTTGAAAATGAGGATGATAGTAATATCATCTCATGAGGTTTGAAGATTAAATCAGATAATTTATAAACAGGGCTTGGCAGAGTGCTGGGTACCCAGAAGAGATATTAATGGCAAATGCTGTTATCCTCAAAATTTCTCTAAGATGCTTACCTGTCTAACTCCAGAATTAAAGCCACAGCAGTAAGAGCCATGATTAGCATGACACTAAGCTCTTAAGGATGTCTAAATTTGGCTTCTTTGGTCAGTATCTCTATAGGACTTGGCTGAAATACAACTCTTTAGAGGAGGAAAAGATAATTCTTCACTCCCTTTTGAAATGACCACAAACCAAAGGAATAAATTTTAGAGTACATCTTTAAAATCATCAGATTTGAGACCCACAACTTGGGCATTTAATTACTTTGCAAAGCCAATGGACTTTGAATCAACTACAAATTAAGTCTTAAAATCTATATTCATCTTGCTAAGATGCAAGGAATTTAAGTGCTCAAAACCAAACGTATCCCCAAGGAAACATAAAGCAAGCCCTTTTGGTATTGATGTTTATATATTCAGCATTGATGTTTATATATTCAGCCTTAAATGTGTAGTATGGGAGTTGGCTTATTAGGCACGAGAGATTTTTAAATATTTCTTTCCTTGACTCCTGAAAAGCTTGATCAAATGATTAACCCTTCCAAAGCCTCTGGTATGTTAATGGTAGTCACCCTTTAACTAGCACAAAAGGTATTATAATTTCCAATATCAATTAGCTCAGTTAGTTTAACTTATCGTCCACTTAGAACCATTCCAGGACAAATGGGTCAGAACCTGCTGCTAGCTAGCTTCTTCTGATACAGGATAGGATTAGCTTTGATTTCCATATAAATACTTGCCAGTGACCATGGACAATTAAGGAAGTACATATATAAAGAAAAGGACTTCATGTGGTTTAACCTGTCTAAATCTAAGTGCTTCAAAATAAAGACTTCTCTCTTGAGTAATAGCTACTAAGGATATCAAAATTTCCCCATTCCTTATTAAATGGATCTCAAAAATGCTTTCGTATATAGAACATTAAAGCAAATGATTCCTGAAACTTACCGAGAGCTGCTGGGTTGGAATGAGGATGAGGATGTGGCTACAAGCTCCTTTTGGCTTCCTGTTTGCATAGGAGATGTGGATGCGTCTTTTCTAACTCCTGCCATTGTCCCTGTATGCACAATAAAGAGAATAATTTTGGCATTCAACAACAAGAAATGAAAAAAGTCTATTCAGAGTAATAGAACTGACATTTTAGAAATTCCCAAGCTTCAAAAGCAGGCCATTGTTCTCCCTACAATGGAACAATGGCAGATGGAAAACTCAGTGACTTGTTTTGGTATTGTAAACATCAAAGTTCCACAATGTCTTGTTTTTTAAAAAAGTTTAATTTCTGCAACATCAGGCTAACTAGAGCTTTTATTTTGAAACCTGATTACCTATCATATTCTTGCTGATTTGGGTTCACTGTGAAAATGTACAAGAAGGTGGGTGATTTTATTTTATTCCCTTTAACTCTCATAAGAAAATATCTTTTTTGACAAAACAGAAAGTTCCAGCTCTTTATACCCCTAAGTCCTCCATACTGAGCTGACCCTTTCCAAAATTTTTAAGGTAAACATAAATCTTGAAAATTTCTTTTAAAGAACTCTATATCAGACTAAAACATCTTAACTGAAAGAGAGGCTCAGCTAACTGTTCTTTCTAGGGCCACTGGCAAGTTCCCAAGCAATAGTTCTGAAAATACTGACCAGCTGGCCTCTGATCTTTTACTTATTTCTTCTTTTTTTATTTTAAGATTTATTTATTTATTTGAAAGGCAGAGTTACAGAGAGGCAGACACAGAGAGAAAAAGAGGTCTTCCATTCATCCCCAAATAGCTGCAATGGCCAGAGCTGAGCTACTCCGAAGCCTGGAGCTTCTTCTGGGTCTCCCACATGGGTGTAGGGGCCCAAGTACCAGGGCCATCTTCTATTGCTTTCCCAGTTACATTAGCAGAGAACTGGATTGGAAGTGGAATAGCTGGGACTTGAACTAATGCCTATATGGGATGTTGGTACTGCAGGTGGCAGCTTTCTTTATCCACTATTATTTTTTTCTTCCAGAGTGCTAAATAGTAGCAGCAGTAGGAAAAGAGACCAAACTGGTCTTTGCTGCCCGGGCAGAATCCTGGGCAATGTCAGGGGGAAATGAACATGGACAAGTAGTAGAAATAACTGAAAGGTTTATGTACATGATGAACTCTTCCTCAACCACAAAAAGAACGAAATCTTGACATCTACAACAAAACGGATATAACTGGAGATCATTACGCTAAGTGAAATAAGCCAGTCCCAAAAAGACAAATATCACATATTCTCACTTATTTGTGGGTGTTAACATTTTGAGAGTATAAAAATAGTGTGGATGGCATATTATTTAGCTTTAATATTGCTTCATTATTCTATTAACTAAAAATAGAAATTAGTGTTCCTGCTTTTGAATATGTATAAGTAGAATCACACAGTAAAGTATCTTTTATCTCTGGATAATTTGTTAAAAATATGTTTGTAACATTTGTCCAAGATCGTGTGCATCTGTTTTTTCTGATGCTTATTTTTGTATACTGTGCCATTGTGTGAATACACCACAACTTATTATCCCAGACTACTATTCTCTTTGCCCACTTATGTCAAGTTTTTGGCTATTTCCAATGATGCTAACACAATTATTCTTGTACATGATTTTAATATATAAATAGATACAGATTTCTGTAGTATATATAACTGAAAATAGCATTCCTGGTCTCTATGGTATACCTATGTCCAGCTTCAGGAGTTTCAAGCTACATGCATTCTAACTTATTTCCCTTATTCTATATAGCATTTTCTGATTTCTTTTTGAGTTTACTAAATCTATTTCTGTCTTCTGTGCTGTTAGAACATGTTTTATTCTCTGAGTGTCTTTTTTTAGGCTTTGTATTTATTTTTTGGTGATTTTTTTGTGTCATGTGATCTGATTCTCTCATATGCATAACAATTTTCAATTAATTACTGATCCATGGATACAAAAATTAAAAAAAGAGAATAATAAAGTTATAAAGTGTGTCCAAGTTAAAAATAAAAAAGGAGAAACCACTGAAAGGGATTTGCAGTGAGGTGAGAGGAAGAAAGCCATTCCTGGTAGTGACAGAATGCAGGTATCAGGTAAGACTTGAATATTATGCTTATTTTTCTGTCTTGATACTACCGTCAATGTTTGGTTGAGACAACTGACATTTGATGGCAACAATATAAAGAAAAAATTTTAAGAGGGCAACCAGAAACTTTATAGTTCACAAACTTAATTGAGGAATGTGTGAAATCCCTCATAATTGTAGGCACAACAATGTGCACATAGGTACTCATCCATCATTCTGGGGAACAGGACCATAGCCTTCACTGAACTGTACATGTTAAGGTTAACCCATGAAGGTTAAGGATGATTGCTCTAAGGTGTACTTAAGAATGTAAGTTTAACTATTCTTTTTCTTAATTATTATTATTATTATTTTTTTGACAGGCAGAATGGACAGTGAGAGAGAGAGACAGAGAGAAAGGTCTTCCTTTTTCCGATGGTTCACCCTCCAATGGCCGCTGCGGCCGGTGTGCTGCGGCCAGCACACCACGCTGATCTGAAGCCAGGAGCCAGGTGCTTCCTCCTGGTCTCCCATGCGGGTGCAGGGCCCAAGCAGTTGGGCCATCCTCCACTGCCCTCCCGGGCCACAGCAGAGAGCTGGACTGGAAGAGGGGCAACCGGGACAGAATCCAGCACCCTGACTGGGACTAGAACCTGGTGTGCCAGTGCCGCCGGCGGAGGATTAGCCTATTGAGCCGAGGCACCGGCCCTTTTTCTTAATTATTTAAGCTCTGTTGCTTACTAAGCTTCTAGAAAAGTATTTATCAGTTTTTGATTGTATTTGTTCTCTCTATAAACATTGATTTAATATTCAATATACCAACAATCATGCATATATTCATGAAATTATGCATTTACATATACACACACAATATATGCTTTATAAAAGTCAAAGTGGGGGCTGGTGTTGTGGCATAACAGGTTAAGCCACTGCCTGCAACGCTAGCATCCCATATGGGCACTGATTTGAGTCCTGGCTGCTCCACTTCTGATCCAGCTCCCTGCTAACGTGCTGGGAAAGCAAAGGAAGATGGCCCAAGTCCTTGGGCTCCTGACAACCACACGTGACACCTTGATGAAGCTCCTGGCTTCAGCTTGGCCCAGCTTTGGCAGTTGCAGCCATGTGGGGAGTGAATCAGAGGATGGAAGATCTCAATCTCACCCCCCCCCCCGACCGTAACTCTGCCTTTCAAATAAATACAATGAATCTAAAAAAAAAAAGTGAAAGTGCTGGCAATTCTACTATCCATTAGGCTGATCAATTTCATATATAAATGTGTGTGTGTGTGTGTGTGTGTGTATAACATATGTGAATGCATTTATATAGATAAACATGTACTTTTTGCATGCACAGATGGAACTGGAAATAATGGATCATGCTCTATTTATATGTAGCTGGGTCTATGTCTGCCTGTCCATCAATCAATATCGCATGATAAGATAATTTTTTTCTTGGAGCACAGTGATTAGGAAAACTCTGTCTCTGGCTCTTTGTTTTATTTTGCATTTCAAAGACAGCTGATTATCTATTCAGTTTAGTATAAAGAATAAATTACAAAAAAATCACACCAATGTAACCCTTCTCAGATCAAGAAATAAAGCACTAGCATCCAATCCATCACCAGTATCCATCCTCTGTCTTCTTGCCTCCAGGAGCCAGCCACTATTCTGATCATTATTTCCTTCCTATTCTTCATAATTTTAACATTCGTCTATTGGTAAAAAAGTGATTTAGTTTAGCTGCTTTTGAAATCTATAAACTTGGAAGTACTACATATATTTTTTAAAAATTTATTTGAAAGGCAGAGCTACGGGGAGGGGGGAAGGCAAGAGAGAGGTCTTCCATCAGCTGGTTCATTCCCCAAATGACCACAATGGCTGTAGCTGGGCACTTCCAAAGTCAGGAGACAGGGGTTTCTTCTGGATCTCCCACATGGGCACAGGGGCCCAAGGACTTGAACTGGTACAAACATGAGATGCTGCCACAATGCTGGTCCCCATACATCCTTTTTGAGACCTCTTCTGCTTAATATGATGTCTGTCATGTTGATTTATGTCAATGTAGGTGCAGCCTGTTGTCTTTGCTTTAGCACACTATCCACTATAAGCATATCTGACTTTTTATCCATTCTGTTTTTGATGGACAGATGGAGTATTTCCAGTTTGGGGCTGTTATGAAGAATGCTGCTGTGGCCCAGGGTGCCAGTTATCCACCAAAATGCACCCTTTCCTTCTTCTTGAGAACACTGCTACTTTATATGTCTCAGTTCTGTAATTTTGTGTGGTCAGGTAGAAAACAGAGGACATTAAATGTCCCACTTCAGGTCTGTCCTATAAACGTGTGTTCTCTTCCATACCTTTCTCTCTCCTTGCTGACCTGCTTCGACAGGATCAACAGATTTCTGTAAAGGGTCATGTAGTACATTTATTAGACACTGTGTGCCAGATATGACTCTTGTCACAACTATTCAACTCTGCTGCTGTAGCACGAAAGCAGCTGCCAACATATGAAAAAAAAAAAAAAAACGGACACAGCTGTGTTACAATAAAACTTTATTCACAAAGAGAGGGAGTAGGCTACATTCGGTCCATGGAGCAAGTTTGCTGAACTGCTTACTGCAATGCCCAAGGTGATCTTGAAGGCACATGAAGATGGCAGTCATCATTCTTTGGAGCAGAGCTGCTGCTATAACAGGAATCCTCATGCTGGCCCATAACAGGAAAAAGAAACATCTTCTTGTTCTTTAAGCCACTGTCTTTTCTTGTAGACTTGTTACCATAACTTATCCTATCTTAGCTGAATACAGCTGCTATGAACACATGAGAGAAATTAAAAAAGTTCATGGAAAATGGAATTAAAAGGTAATGATATTTTCCATGAAATTTTTGAAGATCTCTTGCATTTTAAACTAAGTTATCTTGTATATTAAATTCTCTTTGCTATGTATAACTGGGAATGGCATTGTTAGGCTGTAGGCTATTTGACCTTTACTTTAATAAATAATGCCAAACTGT